CTCCTTTCCCTCCCAGGCCTGGCTCCTTCCAACACGTTTGTGGCCCCCCAGCCTGTTGTGGCAGCCAGTCCCGCAAAGCTGCAGGCCGCCGCTACCCTGACCGAGGTAGCCAATGGCATCGAGTCCCTGGGCGTGGTGAGTCAGGTGTCGTGGGGCTGTGGGGGTTGCCGCCTCTGGGCCCCACGGGCCGAGGGCCTGATCTGATCTCCTTCTGTCTTCCAGAAGCCAGACTTAGCACCCGCGCCCAGCAAAGCCCCTGTGAAGAAAGAGAACCAGTGGTTTGATGTGGGTGTCATTAAGGGCACCAATGTAATGGTGACACATTATTTCCTGCCACCAGATGATGCTGTCCCATCTGATGTAAGTGTCCCCGCGAGCCGACGCTCTCGGGTGGGTGGATCCTGGCCATGAGGCAGGTACCAGGGCTCGAGGAGACTTCCCAGGGTGTCCTCCATCTTGGGGGGCCAGCTCGGGACAGCCAGGTGCAGAGCTTCAGCCATGCCACGCATTCTCAACTCTGCGCCCCCCGAAGCAGTGAAGAAGCCCAGTCTCAGTCCTCTTGCCACCTTCCGTCTTGTCGTGAAGGGGATGCCATGGCTGCGCTCTTGCCCCCTTCCCCTCACCCACGTTGACCTGCATGGTCCCCAGATTGGCCAGACAGCTCTGCTGGCCCTAGAGCTGGCCTCCTGACACGTCGCTTTCTTCTCTCTCTCCCTGTTCTTCTGGCCCGTCTCCCCAGGATGACTCAGGCACCGTCCCGGACTACAACCAGCTGAAGAAACAGGAACTGCAGCCCGGCACGGCCTACAAGTTCCGTGTTGCTGGGATCAATGCCTGCGGCCGGGGGCCCTTCAGCGAGATCTCAGCCTTTAAGACGTGTCTGCCCGGTTTCCCAGGGGCCCCCTGTGCCATTAAGATCAGCAAAGTGAGTCTTGCCGCAGAGCGGGCCTCGGCTGAGTTCATGAGCTCCCTTCTCTGCTGGGCCAGGCGGGGCTGACACAGGGGGGGCCCCAACATGTGGGCAGAGTCATCCAGGTCTGTGGCGACGCCTCTGTCCTGGCACTGTCGCCAGCTGCCGGGATGACAAGGGCAAGTTTCTTTTGGTCCCCCGGCCTCATTCTCCCCCCTCTGTAACATGGCAGCTAATGTTCAGTGAGTGTCCACTACACGCCACGTTCAGTATGTTTTTTTTATCAAACTCTTAGAACGTCCCGAGGAGGCCTGGGACCTGTTGTCAGCTCCATTTTCCTGATGAGGAAACTGAGGCACAAGAGGCTAGGTGATAAGTCCGTAGGTGTCAGAGCGGATATAGGAAGGCTGTATTTTGAGTCCCCGCTCACTTTATTTCGTCGTTATGTGAAGCTGCCTTCCAGATGGGGGCAGACGAGGCCGCCTCTCTGGGGCTCCTTGAACTTCGCTGTGAAGCAGGTCTGTTGTGTTACCGGGAGCAGCGAAGCATGAGCCGTCGGTTCTGGAAGCCATGCAGTGGTCTAGTGTGTAGGCAGTGGGGGATGAGGTCACAAAGGCTGAAGACAGCACAACTTGACTTCTGCTGCCTTGGTTCTAGAGTCCAGATGGTGCTCACCTCACCTGGGAGCCGCCCTCTGTGACCTCTGGCAAGATCATTGAGTACTCGGTGTACCTGGCCATCCAGAGCTCGCAGGCCAGCGGTGAGGCCAAGAGCTCGACCCCCGCCCAGCTGGCCTTCATGCGGGTGTACTGCGGGCCCAGCCCCTCCTGCCTCGTGCAGTCCTCCAGCCTCTCCAATGCCCACATCGACTACACCACCAAGCCCGCCATCATCTTCCGCATCGCTGCCCGAAACGAGAAGGGCTACGGCCCAGCCACCCAAGTGAGGTGGTTGCAAGGTGGGCGTCGTTTGTCAGGCTTCAGGCTCCTTGGTCGGCTTCTGGGGAGGGGCGGGTTGACCCAGCTCCAAGCTGGATTTTGGAGCCATACAATCTGGGGGGGGTGGGCATGGCGGCCTAGAGTGCTGTAGAGGTGTCTCGTGGGGGCATCTTGTCTCATCTGGGGGTCCAGGGGTGTTTGAGGTGAGATGGAACGGGGAGGACTGCGAGATCCTGACACAGGCATGGCGTGAGGCTGGGTCCCAGTGCGCGAGGGGCGGGTGGGGAATGGAGGCCCCGGGTTGCCCTGTCAGGTTTTAAGTCAGCTCCCACGAGGCTGCCCAAGGAGGACAGTTGAAGGCCCCTAACCTGAGTCGGGGGACAGACAGCACACAAGTGGCCAGGACCAAGGGGAGTGCACCCATGGGAGGGGCCGTCCTCAGCAGTCAAGCCGGTCGTGCCGCAGGGCTGAGGGGCTGGGGGCCCCGGCGCAGATATGATCTCAGCTTGTGGGGGCTGCTGTGTGACAAGTCACCTGATCCCCCTTGCTGTGCCATTCACTGTTCCTCTTTCCTTTCAGAAACCAGTAAAGACAGCTCTGGCACCAAGCCGGCCAGCAAGCGGCCCATGTCCTCTCCGGAAATGTAAGCAGGAAGCCTCTTTCGGGAACCTTCTGAGACAGGGTGGGAGGCTCCTGGGAAGAATAGTAGGGGTCTGCTTCTTAAATGACTTGGGGGTTCTTAACGGGGCACCAGAAGCCTACGAGTCAGAGGCCACGCTGACGCGTCCTCTTTGCCTTTTTCTTCTGTCTCCCCAGAAAATCCGCTCCAAAGAAATCTAAGGCAGATGGTCAGTGAGAAGCAGCTGCCTTGCACCCGGATTCCTCTCCAGACCCCCTCTGCTTCAGGAACAGCACCCGCCCATCCCACCCACCCGGCACTCACACTTCACCCTCCCGAGCTACTGGCCACCCTTCCTCCTCTCCCCTTTTCCCTGTCTTTTTAAAATGATCTCAAAGAAAGCACATCTTATCATCGTTATTGGGAGGGAGCGGAGGCAGGTCTGGAAGAGCAGAGAGGAGTGGGGGCGGCAGGCCTCCTCCTCCCCCGCGCCTTCTACTGGGGGCCGAGCGAGGCCCTGAGTCCCGAAGCTCTGAGAAAAACTTCGCGACGTGCGGAAGGAAGCCGGGGAGCCTTGCGCCTCCACAGCGCGCCTCTTGCTGGTTATCACCCCTGGCGGCACGAGGGGGCAGCCGGGGGCCATGCAGGGGACACGGAAGCCCGGGAAAGGCACCCCTCAGTCCCCCTCTCCCTGCCTCTGCTCTGAGAGGCAAAAGGCTTCGCGGGGCACCCCGTGCTTGGGTGTCTGTCTGGTTGTTTTTTTGGTTCTCTTTGCATTTTCTGCCACCTGACAGCCCGCCTTCAGCTCATCCACCCCGTCTCTGCCCGCGCCCCCACGGGAAGCTTACACATTTTCTCAGAGGCCTTCGTATCTACCCCACCTCTTCTCTCCTCCCCTCCTCTTTCCCATTTAAAACGAGAAGAAAGAAAAAGAAGGGGCCCTGCGGCGGCCTGAGCAGTGTTCTGTGAAAACCTCCCGACAACCATGGGGTGTAGAGTAGCCCCCACCGAGCCTGGCTTTGGCCCCCTGGGTCGGGGCGAGGGGCCACATCACCAACTGCTGCATTTGTTGTATTTTTTTTAAGTTGAAGTTGATGAAGTTAACATTTTTATTGTAATTTTAGCCTTAGCGTGTTGGGGTTTTGTCCCTTTTTGTTGTTAGCTGTGTACAGAATGTGTATCTTTTTATTTTTCTTTTTTTCTTTTTTTTTTTTTTTTAACTTTTCTCTCCTTGGCTAAGCCTTGGCAGGGATCTCTCTGGAGAAGAAGCTGGGGCAGGACAGGCGTGGAATGTCCCCCTGCAGGCCCGGTGTTTGCTGCCCAGCCCAAGTTCCTCTTGCTGGTCCCTGCCCTCTACCCTTTTGCCTGTCCCCAGGCCTCGGACAGAGGGGTGAGCCGTCAGACCTCACTCCCCACGGGCAATTGCTCCACGCCGCAGGATCGATCTGGGGTCTGCAGGAGCCTCAAGTCAGGTGTCCGAGGAGGACAGTTCAGAGGAGGTGGAGGCCAAGGCCCAGGGACCTCCAGGTCCTGCGTTCACAGTACTCTCCACTCCCCAGGTGCCGTCCTTGGCGTAGCTTAGAATCTCAGACACCCTCAACCGCTGCTTCCTGCAGCCACCCCATTCCAAACAGTTGTAAGAAAAGGGCCGGGGTGGAGGAATGAAGGGGAACGCGGGCTTGGGGGCAGTCAGGGAGGGTGTGGCTTCACCCAGAAGGGGTCCTTGGGAAGGACCTGCAAACAGCACTAGCCACCAGGTCTATAAGTTTGCGGCACTGTCCCCAGGTCGTGCGGTTCTCCTAGGGTCGGGCTTGGGCTTGGGGCTCTGGAGTGGCTAGTTGGCCAGCCTTCCGCCCCACGCCCAAGATTTAGGCGAGGGGCGAGGCTTGCAAGCAGGTCACAGGATTTAAGAAGAGCAGCCCATCTTTTCAGAGCCCCCATCTTTGCCCTGGAGACACAGCTACAGCTGGGGGGCCTCCTAGCATTTGCAGACCCTCCCTCCCACCAACTGGCTCCCTCTGGGGCCTCTGATTTGTTGTATTATAGTATATTTCGCTGTGGAAAATGTCACGTTTAGTCACCTTGGAGCCCACTCGCCTGGTCCCATCGTTGCCCCGTCCCTTGTCCCAAGCGCCCTTTGATTTCTCTCGTTTCTGAGAACAGTACACCCGTTCATCTATTGTAGAGTAACCCCGTGACTCAATATTACCATAGTGCGATGTCGTTTTGTGCTATTTTGAACAATTAAAAGACTTTTTTTGAAGTAACTACCTGTCGTGTCTCACTGGGACCCCCAAGCTCATTGAACCCCCTGGGCGGCCTGTCAGTGAGTAGGATCTCGCTTCCCAGTTGCCTCTGAAGTGTCAAGGTTCCACCAGGGCCCATGGCCTCGGATCGGACAAGATGTCACAGCAGCTGTGCAGCCAAGAGGCTCCCTGGGCAGCTGCTGCCAACTCCTCTGGAGACCGGTGCCCCTCCCCTCCCCGACCAGGTGACACCACCAGCTGCTGACCTCTGGCAGTTGGGGAGGGCGGAATCGGAGTGCCTTCCACCGAGAGCTCAGGCCCCCCAGAAAGTCCCTAGAGTGTCAACTCTGAGGCAGGGGGTGTGGCCCATGGGGTGGCTCCTCCGGCTGGCGCTCAGCAGGTGCTGCAGGAGTGAATCTTGGGCTCCCTTGAGGGCCAGGCCTCCAGAGAGGAAGGAGCGAACTTCTCTTGAACCAACTGTGACAGCCCCGCTGTCGGGGTGGGGTGGTTTTTGCTAGGGTGGGTGCTACAGCCAGGGTTAGGTGAAAGGGATCAGTATTCAATGCCAGCCAGCCAGGAGGCCCAGAGAGCCTGGGCGCAGCCAGGCGGTGTCCTGGTGCTCACGCTAGTGCTAGGGACAGAGGCATGGGGAGAACTCTTCCTCAGCACGCCTGCGTCCTTTCCCCCTCGCCCCTTTAGTACCAAAAGCTGCCGACTCTCTCTCTGCCCGGTGAGTGTATGTGCGCATGCGCGTGTGTGCACGTGCCCACGCAGTTCGCACTCACAGCTGGAGGGGAGGCCCTGTCCACTTTCAACTCCCCCATGAAGCCTCT